AAGTTAATTTTCCTGGCTTTTTCATGAAAGAAAGAAGAGGTGGATGCTCAGCTCTTTACACTGCCCCAGCTGTGAGTGACTCAGTGCCCACTAGGGGTGTGTGTGTGTGTGTGTGTGTGTGTGCGGGCGTGCGCGCACGCGCGCATGCGCACCAACAGTAGATCTATTTCCTTCTGTCTTTCTATCATCCCATCGTCATCACTGTCTTTACCAGCTGCTCGTCCACCTGACTCATCCTGCATGGAATGGGAAGTGTGGTCGCCACTTTATCTCTCCACGAGACTTCCCTCCTGGAGATTCCCTGATAGTTGCCAGCAGAACCCACAAAGACATGACACATCCTCGCCCGCACCTCCATCCTCCACCCGGGTTTCTTCTTTCCCTTACTTGCATAATTTCTTCATGCATTCTTACTCTCACTCGCACTGTTCTCCCTCCACCATGGCTGATCCTGAATGCCAGGGGGCGGGGACAGGAACGGTATCATCTGGGGACGCTGAGTCAGTTTCGTGTCCTGGGAGGATGTGCTGGGTGGGGCTCCACTGGACCGTGACATCTCCTGAGTCCTTCCTCCTGAGTAGGAGCCCTGGTGCCATTCAGCGTGTGAGTCGGCTTCACCCTAACCACACACTCTGGCCAGGGACTGCTCAGGAATCAGAGCACACAGATCATTCCAGAAGCGAAAGTCGTTTTGGTGTACAGTTCTCATTTTTTGTTTTTCTATCATGCCTTGCAATCAGCCAGCTCATGGGCCCCCAGCCAGGTAGCTCCCCAACAGCCGGGACACCCCTGCTTGCCCACCTGGATTGCAGGCGAGAGAACTTCCTCATAGCTAGCTGTGTATGCTTAGTGGCTCCAGAGATGGTAAACACAAACACTGCCCTGCCTGAAAAAAAGTCTCTGGTTCTCTGAGGGTTGTTGTACAAACTGTAAATGACCCACCATAAAGACCCACCCTCCTCCGATCCTGATAAGGCCGAGGTAAAAGTCCGGCCCTACTTGTCACACGGTTCCCTTCCAGGTCAGGCACCTCTCAGGAACTGGCTGAGTCTTCTTCCTTCAGCAGACTCAGAGGACTCTGCATTTTTTTTTTTTTTTT